CAGGGCACAGGAGACAACCCAAACAGAAGTATTCTGTTTCAACAGAGTTTCTAAAATAGTTCTTTATTTTCTACTGAATTAAGAACAGCACAAGCAAAACTACGAGAGCACATAATTGCAAACTTCAGGCAGTACAAATTAGGACCATTACACAAGGGGCCACAAAATATCTCCAGGTTCCACCCCCCAATATCAATATCACTGCAAGATTCTGCAAGGAGTCTCAAAAATGCAAAGTATATATTACATTTAAAATACAGAGTTCTGGTACAACGTTTACAGTGCAGGATATTCTGAATGGCCCCTCCTGTCATCTAAAGTCTGAGTCATACCTCTATAAACACACTTGTTTAATGTCTCCCAGGAAGGTACAGAACTGCTGCATCTTGCAGTATCAGGCCCATGAAGACAGTCTCAGCTTGTTTGCTACTAATACCACCCAAATAAAATAAAATTTAAACAAAACCACTTCTAGTCATCTTATCATATTGACTATCCAACATTCACAGCATATCTTGTGGGAAAGAGAGGTAAGAAATAAGGCTCCTATTCATTTTTCCTTCAGCACCAATGGGCATGTGTCCGAACTTGAGTTAGTATAGAGAAAGACGTTATTAAGAAGTGAGATGAATCCCTCTCTGCCACTTTTTTCCTCTTAACAACAGTGCATTTTCAGTTGAAAACTCGAAAAATGGAGTGCAAAAACACTTCTCCCTTTATTGCTGTTTATAACATTTTTCACATTTCAAAGGATCTTAAATCTGTACCTCTCACTGGGCTGTCATTAAATAGCCGTTAATGCAGACTTCTTTTCACACCATATTGATCTGTGTCGCTGTCCTTTCCTTGTGCTCAACTACCAAAATGTACTTTGTTTCCAAAAATTCAATAAGCATTAATTACACCACAATTATACCTCAGATTTTTATTTATTTTTATCCATCTGATTTTCAATTTTTCCACATTTGCAGAGGAAGGAGAGGGTAACAAAACGTGAGACTCATGAAGGAAACCTAATTATAGTGTAGATGCTTTGCAAGTTGCCACAAGCCCTAAGGCACTGCAACACACAACTCATCTTATCCAAGCATCTCATGAATGCACCAAAACATTCTTCTGATCATACAGAAAACTGTGATCATTTAAATGACATTCACAAATGGATTTAAAAGCAATGGCCTGTGCATACTTTCTGAATAGTTTTGTTCTTTATCAGAAACCATTTCACAACGAAAGTTCATATTGAGCTTACAGGCCATGTTCACCAAAACAAAAAAGCTATTTTGTGCAAGTTTCAATTTTAAGAAGTCCCTTTTTTCCCCCAGAGACTTCTAATCTTCAAGATTATATGGAAGAAACCATAAGAGAGGGATTCTCAATTGAAAATTACCTGTAAAATTACAAGCTTTATAAAAACACTGCTTTTTCTACATCCAATCACAATCTAAATGACAATCTGAACCCATGTGCAAGACATAAAGAAGCTGGACGAAATAACATCTGCTTTTATAGCTAAGACACCACTTTAAAGCCAAGGCAGAGTCTTCAGGTATTAGCGCACACTTCCAGCCTCAGGGGACTTTTCAATTCCTGATGTACCTAACCATGTACCAGACTTCTAGATTTGGTTTACACAGAACAAAAACACATTTCTCTCTAATGGTCTCCTAATCTATTTATGTAATAACTTTAATAAATTTAGCATGTTTCAAAAATCGATTTAAAGAAAAAAGAAAACAACTGCCAAATATACACACCAGGAAACTACACCAACATCAGCTGCGGTAGGAAGAAAAGGAATAAGATGAAGAAATATTAATTGAGATACATTTGAAACCTGATGGAAGTGAAGGAACAGAAGAAAGTTAAATTGATGAAAATGTTAAACAAAGACCTTGAACAAATCTGAAGAAAAAGCAGAGAGGAAAAATTTAGCCATGGCTTTTTCAAAAAGCTAGGAAGAAGAGTTGTAGGAGAATTCAGCAACCGAGGTGGAAAACCAAGTAACAGAGTTGTCACACCTGCTGTTAGAACATAATGCTGTAGATCTTTGTCCATTTGACATCTGCTTGCAGGAAGAAAATTTAAAGAAAGATGGGAATGAAATAATTAACATTAGTGCAGAAAGGACAAGTCAGACAACAGAGTTTGTGCTATGCCATGACGTGTTTTGGCTCATGGTGTAGCACAGAGGATTTTAAAAGAAGCAGTGACAGTCACAAGTGACGGATTTAAGACTTCATATAACAGGTACTGCTGAATGCCAGTGAGGGGATACATAAGATGTTTGTGACTTCGAAAAGCTCCTCTTTCAGTCACACAAGAAGGGCACTAAGACATCCACACTTACAGAAAATCGGAAGTCATGAAAATAAAGTCTCCTAGTATTTCTGTTGCTCTCATATCCTTAGTTGGTAACACACTTGAATATTTGTCTTCTACGTTTCACCCTCTCCCTCCAAATGAAGGTAAGAAATAATTTACACCACTTGCCTCTCAGGCTTACTTATACAATCAAACTTTTACTAGCAAATTCAGAAAACGATCAGGCATCTGATCAGGTTTCTGCAGTACAGTCATAATACACAGACTGTGGTAGTTCTTCACATCACTGAGATCAAGTCAAAGATTCAAACTCAACTAGTATCTGCTGCTGAGTGTTTCTTACCTCTCGGGAGGGGAAGCCTTATGAGGTGAGAGAATTTTTAAATACCACTGGGAAGTCACTATGGAAGTGGTCACACGACTCCCTTTTGCTCTGAGGCAGTTCAAATTTTCCCCCAGCATTCTTTTGTTAATGAAGGACTGATGACTTGTCCCATTAATAATTCAATAAATTCCAAAAACATACAGTGTTCCAAAAACAAACAGTGGCTGAAATGGCTAAAAAAATTTCTATAACTTCTATATTATGCCACAGAACTTCTCCCTATAGTGTGAATTTTACTAATTACACATTTTCTATTAAGAAAAAAATACAATAGTATCTGTTCCACCTAGTAGCAATGTAGCTTCTTGATGGATCACTGGAAGAAGGGATCTAATCACTGGACCAGTTTAACACGACCCAAAAGAAAGAAGGTAGTACTTGTCTCTGCATGGATGAGACAGTATTATTTTCCCAATAATTACTATTACAGCTATTTCCTAAGCAGCAACAGCTGACTGTCAAGAATCCCAGACATAATGGACGACTACCATATGAAGTATTCCTCATCTCAAATCGTAAAGCCTCCAATAAGAAATCTGACTGTGCATGCAATAACTGACTGGCAGCCCTAAATAACAGACAACAGTTTCAAAGGACCTCAACCAGAAGTCTTTTTAATTTTAATATTTCCTTCTTTTTTTACATACTACCATTCATTTATTTTATTTAATTTCATAAAGAATAATATTTAGGTATAATGTGAAAAACACTCTTGCAGTAAGGTAGGCTACAAGAAACTTTGATACATAACGTTTTCCATAATTACAGAAAAACCCCGTGACGTTGTGGCCAGTCCTGTTCATTTTGCCTCAGTTTTGAACAGAGGCATTCTCTTTTTATACTATCTCCACAGATGAAATATTTTTTTTGGATGCAAGTAAATATCTGATTAACGTCATTTGTTCTCCTTGGCGTTGTAACAATGAAGGTGTCTTAACAGACCAAGTGATGAAGTATTTTATCATTGAAATCTGATGTCAAACATACGGTGTCACTCAAAGTTTATGAATTTGCTAGTGAATAACAGGTTGATTGCAAAGTCATAGAATCCCTCTCTCCTTCCTTGTTTATTAAGCTGCATTCTTGAAATCTGATAGCATCGCTTTCTGTAAACTTGACTACGATTTCACTTCTAGGACAGAAAACATGATTTCTTTGCACCTACTTTCAAATGCAATACGTTGCTAAAGAAGAGGTGAGATTTTTTTCTGTTTGTCAGAGGAGTGTAATAGGACTACAGGAGTAGACTTTCAAATTAAATGTGTTAAGTATGCTTTGACTTTTGCTGGAATACGTGCCAAAAGGCAACCTGAAGCCTTCACAAAGCCCTTCCAAATTATTTTCTTCAAATACAAACCTTTACAAACACTAGGAGATTTATCACTAACTACTAGTAATCAGTGGAAAAATTCAAACTGGATAAAATCAGCATTTGCAGAGCAGGGCAATAAAACAATGCTTTTCCATGCTTTGAAAATTCGAAGCTTTAAGCATAAATTAGGCCTTTCACTATGTGGCAGAAAATATAGTCCTGGGATCTCACATTTGTCTGTTATCTGGAGAATTCCACAGCCATCTCACAAGGACTAACGGAACGATTCCTGAACTCAAAGACATGCAGCTGTATTCCATATGATAGTTACACAGCAAGGTCAGAAAACTCTGCTTTGGTCCATAACAAGTAATACAGAAGCAATTTTGAAAACTTATGGTCTGCAACTTAAAGGTTTTTAAATGCCAAAGAGAAGTCAGACTGCAAATAATGATGCTTTCAAGTTACACCTAAAATTATATGACATTATTTGAGTAATTCACTAAATAAATTCTGACAGCCCTAATAAAACCAATAAAAAAAAGTCAGCATTTTTGCCTAGCTGAAATGTTATACTGAATGTTGAGCAAGTGGTAGTCTGAAGTGTCTCAGAGACACTTTCACTTTCAGCATTGTTAGACCACATATGCCAAACAATACTTTCTTTTTGTGAAACAAACCCTTTCACTGAACACTGTTTAAAAAAAAAGACACTCCCACTAAACTTTTAACAGATTTTAAAGTTTTTAAATAAAACCCCACTGTAGCCAACAACTAGTACTGAATAAGGCTTTGTGCTATCCAGCTACTTACATCAAAACAGTCTTCCTATGTGCAATGTAGTCCTGAAAAAACCTGATGAATTTAAATGAACTTGTACTACACTTATTTTACAATGCATTTAAGTATTTTTCCACAGTGAGCAATCCACAGCACAGTATTTCCACACTTCAGTAACTGAGGTAGAAATCAACTTACCCTATGTTTTTCCTTTACTTTCTTCCTGTATTCTTCTTTGTCAAATTTGTCTTCTTCACGCAGTATCTCTTTCGCTTTATCTAAGTTAATACCGGTGGCATCGTCTTCCTCACCTGCTTTCGCCAAACTGGATTTTTGCACAGGTGGCCACTGCTGCACTAACTGAATTAGACATGACAACAAGAAAAATAATGGTTAAAATAATTTTTTTCCACATCACACTTTTGACGCCCTAAATATTCCAATACATTATTTTTCTAGACTAAATAAAAAGGCCATTTGCAAAAGAAACAGATTAACAAAACTTCTGGACAACAGAAACTCAGATACCTTATTTAACATCACATTCAGTCCAAAATTAGTATCTGAAAATAGTGTCTCCGCTATATCACGTTACTCTTTAAGGGATTCACTTTAACTTCTTCCCCTAATTTTCTCTCTTTGCTGAATGGAACAAATAATTTCAAATCCTGTTAGTTGTTTTGGGAGAAAAAATGTATTTTCTTTCAAGAAACAATTCTCCAAAATACATCAACAGAAAAGAACAGGATTAAATCTAAACAGTACCTTTCATGTAAACAACCAATATTCCAACATATTAACTGAGACAAAAATGAAGTAAGCCTTTATCACAGTACACAAAAAAAACAAGACTGCAGGTTCATGTTTTGCGGAAAGCAAAGAGAACAGGCAGGTAGGGTTTTTTTAATTTTTGTATGAAAACTATATTGGAAATGTTTGATGATTCATGCTGACGAAATGTTTAATGGATGACACACTGAACACATCCAGCTTCCCTTAAATATCTGACACTCTGAAGTTAAGACAAAGACTACACATTCAGCAAAATACCCCCATCTATCTTGTGACCTAATAGCTTATACCTTGAGCACACATTTTCAAGGGACAGTCTTTGCAAAATCATTCTTGCTTATGGATTGGTAGGGTAATAACTCTTTAAAAGAAACTATGTGGCAGAAAATATAGAATGCCTTTCAGTACAAATGCAAAACCAAACACGTTTAGGACTCCCTAATGCACAGAGGGTGTTATTCACCAGGTACTGACAAACCCAACTTCCACTTCCTTCCACAAAATTGAGTTTGTGCAGTTATATTTTCTAGAAAGATACATTTCTTAAAGCACTTTTATTTTATGGAAGAGAAGTATGTGGAATAGAACAGTAAAATTTCAAAGCACAGCTCAGAAAAAAAAAAAAAGCTAGAACAACATCCATAGATGCCAACCTTTTGTTTCCTTAAATAAGTCACCCCTTTTCTATTGTGCTGATTTTCAAACTATAATCTTTGTGATAATTTTTCTTCCTCCATCCCTCTTCCTTTTTGCTTCGTTGCATAGATACATAAAACATTTGCATATGAATTTTCAGATGAGACAACAGCTTCTGAATATCTAAAAATATCTGAAATTATAATTTCCAGTCAATGGGACAACCTCTAAAACCTTTTAAATTCTATCTAATGTCAGTAATTATCTATATGGCTACACTCCCTTCACCTGCAATATAAAATGCTTTATTTTATTTAGTCACAAAAGCAAATTATATACTTGTGAAGATGACCTCTCTTTCAGGTTATGGCTTACTGAAATTATTCTAAAGTAGAATAAAAAAAAAGAGAACTTATTTTTTATCTTAATGCTGGAAACGGAAAAACAACATACACAGCATCTGAAGCTGTGAAATCAAATGTTAGAAAAGTTTATGGAGCATGGACACTTGCTAGTGAGGTTATCGACACAGGAAAACCCTAGAGGGAGTAGCATCCACAATAGTTCCTTTCAGTATAAAATCAATACATTTTTCCAGGGTCTATTAAAAGATCCAATTAAATAACTGGCAAATTTCCAGGCACTGCTACATCAGCACTAGTAGGCCAAATTTGGTACTTCCTTAGCCTTCCTAACAAAACTTTTAATCTAGAAATACTGAATGCGGGAAAAAAATCCAGAGACTTCTTTTAATTCCAGTACATTAAATCAAGACCTGGGGGTGTTTTAGCAAATAGCTACAGGAAAATTGTTTTACATTTCTGTAAGGAAAAAAACAGCTCTCAGTTCCACCTGAAATTGAAGATAATAGGCAGAAAAGAGATACAGTTCTGTACCGTCACTTACAGCTCTCATACAAGTATCTGACACATACAAAGAGGAAAAGAGGTCAGTGCTCAACATTCCTCTTTTTCCCAAAGAAACTGAATTCTAAATGGAAGCTGAAAACTTCTGCAAAATTTAAGCCAATTACAAAAAACATATATTTTTGAAAAGCTTATCTTTTTATACATACAAAGTATATTTTTTACTTTCTAGAAACTACAAATTCAGTTCCCACCAAAATACAGTTATTTTTAATTGATCTTACCTCTCCATCTTCAGTAAAGACTATTTTTGTGTTAACTTTAAACTTCTTCTTCAAAATTTTTTTGGCTTCTTGGGTTTTAGTTGTTTTCTTCTTCACCTTTGATTTTGATGCACTCTGTATAAAAGAAAATGAGATTTCTTACAGGTTTTTCCTAGTCACAGGGTATATGCTTCAAACTTCCTTAAAAGTAATTAGATGTATTAAAATGTAATTCCTAAAACACATCAGTAAGATTAATATCCAGTAAAAATTAGCTTGCAGACCTTTTCATAAAAGTGTTTTAAGCAGGCCATATCATCAGAAACTCATTTACTCTGATAAAAATTCAGCATAACTTAAACCCTGCCAGCACCAGGACACCTGACTCATTCAAATCTCACTAACCTTTTTGGGACAAGGACACTAGATTCACCAGCTTATGCTACTAGCAAGCCTCATCAGACAAGAAATACCTTATAATTGACTTGAAGCCATTTGCTACAACAGATCAGACACCACTTTCATCTCACTCGTCATCAGGTTCTCCCCAGGCAGCACAGTACACCAGCTTCAGTTATTTCTGTGTCAATGAAGGCCACAGGCGGCCACGCAAGAACATTCCTATTTCATAACTTTCATCCCTTACAGACCCATCAGGTTGCAGAACATCAGTGCCAAGAGATGTCTGCCAAATTTAGCATTAAATAACATTTAAAAATCACAAAAGTTATAAGCAGCACAGAAAAAAGTTGGAGTGAAACAAAGTGGTCAACACACCAGAGAAATTAATGAGGAAGTCCACAAAGATGTGGAATCCACATATGGCCAATGCAGGTTTCACCGAGGCAACCATCTGGTCGCAACATCATGGAACTAAGAATGTGGAGATTTCCAACCCCCAGCTCTTCTTCAGAGAACTCTCCTTTCAAGAACAAAGGCCGTATATGTTCAGGACACAACACACACAGAGGATGTTTTAAGCAATAACTGCCATTGCATAAAGTTCTTTATAGCAAAAGGTAGTCCACGTGAATATGTGGAGACTCCCTAGGAGAAGACCCACAACTCGTTCATCGTCCCACAAAGGCTGCAATCTCTCCACTACTCAGGAAAAAGTGCCTGAAAAACAGTCACTAAGCTGTCTAAACTTCTAATAAATAACAGAAAGCAGTCAAAGCAACCAGAGAGAAAAAGGAAAAACTGAACTTGTTCTCACTTTCATTTTTTTATTTTGGCCATTTTAATCACTTTCATGTTCTATACCAAATCTACTATAAAAGAAAGCAAAAAAATTAACTCAGAAAGTCACTGTCACCACGGTCAGCACACTAATGCACTGAAATATGAACTATAAAAGAGAAAAATTACAGTTCTCCTAACAGGAAAAATGGTTTGTGACAGCTACTGCGCTGTGTGATCAAGCAATAACCATATCTATTATAGAAAATAGCAACTGCAGCAGCACTTTTGTCCTCAGTACAATCAAAATTTTTGTTGCACTGTGCAGCTACTACTAGTTAGGTACATCTATAACAGCTCAGAAAGCTGTGCTACTCCTTAATGACTGCTGCGCATCCTACAAACACAAATTGTTTGAGAATCTGCATTAGCTTAAAACCCTCACCTCAAAATATGGAATACTTAGTAGAACAACAGGAATTGTCCAAAGGAAGAATTTAAAGAGAGGTGTACTTCACAATAGTAGTACAATACTATTCACTACCACAGCATGTTCTTCCACCACTTGATTTTGGTTTTTTGGTTTTTTAACAATCTTTAATTTCTGCACTGCCAGTATTATTGGTACCAGCGTAACATCCTAATGTAAGAAAAAAAGACTTTAAGTTTCAAATTAATACATCCATATTTTGCAAAATTATATTTAACTGTGAATTTCAGCTGTTTATATTTCTTCTTTTAAAGAAGGTTTTCCTAGCTAAGGAGCTCAAATATCCAATGAGCTGTCTTTGCATGCACACACAGGCAACATTTCCAATTGCATCTTGTTTCCCCTCCCACCTCTGAATTTGATGCTGCAAAGTTGCATGGGAAAAAATGGGATAGGACAAAGAAGAGAAACAAGAGGCGGAGAAGAAACAAATGGGAAACTAAACTCCCTCACTATACACCTAAAAAGCAGTGTGAGATCAGTATGTGAATTTGGTAGATTTATAATATGAAGCATTAAAGAAAGGTAAGGAATTAGAATTTTAAAAAACCTACAGAAAAGAGCATGAGTATAAAACATTACACACTCCCTAGATAATTAAACTGTGTTTTTTATTAGGACACTTTCATTGCTTTACTAAACTGAGCATACTTCAAAAACAACTTTCAAGGCTCCTTCAGTTTCAGATACTGTCTCCTGACTGACTGCCACAGATGGGTTCATATATCTAAACATTTTCATCACAGATGTAGGCACGACTTGTCCAGACTACATGGCTTCAGTGTTCAGCGGTAGAAGTGGTGCAGCCTAGAAGGGACCTTCGGTGTATTAGGGCAGTGTTTCCTGACATGGTTTCCCTGTTCCAAGAGGGAGGCTACACTGTCTAGGATAGGAGCTGGGCAGGTCAGACACGGAGTGTACAGGGTCCTGGGGCTACCACAGGGTCTCATAAATGCTGATTTGGTTCTCTCCTGGGGACCTCCCTCACATTTTTCCAGCATCCCTATATAATCCTAACGTCTCTCTCTTCTGTCACCTTTCTCCCTCCATATGTCCTCCATTATCAATGGCACCCCTGTGACCCCGTCACCCAAACACCTAATGTCCTCACCCAAATTTCTAACACCACTGCCTGTCTTTGCTTTGACCCCACATTTGAACAGCTACATTGAAACATTAATTTCCCATCTACCAGGAGTCTGATTCATCCATTTTAAGAAGTGCAACACCACTGGATATAAGAACTCAGGCTTCCCTAATCTTCAGTGCCAATCCCTGGTTCCCTGTGTTTTCAAGCCATTCTGCTTACTAGTTTCCCTTTTTCATCTTTCGTAATAAGAGATACCTGACAATTGACAAGCAGCAGGTTGACATTCTCCACGGCTTTATCTCTTTTCTTCACAATGAGCTCACCACAGCAGCAGGCATCACCAGTTGCTGGAGGCTGCCAAAAGATCCCCTCCATCTGTTTACCTCAAGAATACAATTGTGGCAGGAGCAGTGACTCCTCTCTGCTCAGTAAACAGCTGGAATCTGGGGTCACAGGCTTTGCAGGCCAAAGTACTATGACATAAGCAGCTACAAGTCAATGGAGTATTTCTGCTGAGAGTCAGATCTTCCCCCTAATGCCAGAGCAAGCCACAGGCCTGGGCATTTTAAAGTGAGGCGAGAGGGCACAGCAGCTATCCACATTGAGTGGCTCATTCCAAATCCTGCTCAGCTACTATGTACTACAGTAAATCCATTTCTAAAGATGAATTATTCCATCAAATAAGCCATCGATCCAAATAAAATAGTATGCATGATCTAGGCATAGGTTTTCATGTTGTTGTAAAAATATCAAAGGGATTCTGCATTTGAACTCCAGTTGGTAACACCAGTTCAAGCACCAATTGGTGCACACACACCTCCCTGTCAGTAACCTGCTGCTCACCAGTGCATACATTTTGCCCAGTACAACAGGCCCATCTTTTCTTCTATACAGATGTGGCAACAGTTAAATTGATCAAACAAGATGAGAGCAATAATCAAACTCTTTAAAATGCTATATAACAGTTAAACATTGGAAGTTTAGAGTCACTAAAGTTTATAAAAATTGCATAAAACATAGGCTCAGCTGCAGGGTTCGGGGATTTTCTACTGTTACTAATCAAAAGCCTAAATTTCTTTTTCCTTTTGTACGTGCCAGATGGCTTGCTGGATTATTTAATGAGTAACAATAAAAACTAGCTCTCAGAAGCAAAGAAAATTCAAACATTTTGATATAGAATCGGTAAGAATACAGCTAATATGCAAGTTCTTTTCTATTTTTCTCAAGAAGAGGCAGGCTTTTGTTTTCTGGCTTAAAACAGCTGATATTCTTAAGCTGAATCAATGACAAAGGTTTTCTAAATGAAGATACTGACAAGTTTAAGACATAAGATTTACCATTTTTCAATTATAATATTTTTCTGAAAAGACAGCACTAGAAACATGAATGTCAGTAAATTCTGCTATTCTAATATGGAATAATTTTCTTATTAATACAATTTTAAAGTCAATAGATAGACTTGAATATGTAATCCTCGGTAACTCAGGATCAAAGCATTTACAGTCTTTTACCACAACTAAGACAAAACACATTTGATTTGACCTTTGGAGGTTACAAATCATCAGTGTAAAGTTACTTTGTTTCTGACTATACTTTGCTTTTTAATTTCAACTCAACACACCCTTGAAAGCAAGCACAGTATATTCACTACAAAAGTTGCCTGAAGACAGCACTACATTATTGTGGCAGGGTAAAATATCAGTAGAAAAAAAGTTAGAATCAATTTTCCAGTCCTGTTAGCTAAAACAAGCATTACTGCATTTCTAGCAGTTTTTTGGGTTTGTTTTGTCCCTCCTGCTTATATCCTGCAATTCCTAGGAAGAATGGTGCCATACCTGGATGTATTTTCCAGTCTCTCCCAACGTTATTACATTACTTTACCAAGAATTCAACAGCAACCGCCTCTGAGAAACAAAAATCGATGTGGGACTCAATTTCACAAACTTGTTTTGTATTTCCTCAAGAAATTGCCCACAACAGAAGCAGGTATTATCACATTTGCACCACCACCAAGCACAATGATCCCCTGTCAAGCTACAGAGTTCAGACTCAGATGTCATTCCCCACAGAAGACATAGGCTCGCAGATTGAAGCTACCAAACCTTAGACAAGGAGAAGAGCTGTCTTCCTCTTCATGCCACAGAAAGCATAAAGACAGAGATGGTTTTCATCTGGTAGGCACCTTTCAGAAAAAAGGTCGTAGGAACTTTCAGAATACTAAGTATCTTCCAACCATTAATCTTAAGCAGCCTACCCATAAAGCATTACCTCTCAACCCCATAGACTTCCCAAACTCAGACTACAACACTTTGATTACCTACCACGGAGATTTATTTAGAGGAGAGAGAAGTGTTCACTCTTCCTCACAAATATCTA